GATTGTATTTAATTCACTAAAAATAAAATCACTAAAATACTTTGTGATATTCAAGCTGTACATATTTAAAACATATTAGACTGTAAATATTTTAAGACTGACTGTAAAAAAGTTAATTTTAATGTTTATATTATGAATGTCGTAAAATGTAATAAATACGGTTTATGAACTGAACTCATCTGATTTCCATGAAGTGTTGCATGACAAAAAATTTGCTTTTACACAAAATACTCTCATGGTTTTATGTTTGTTTTATTAGAGCGACATTTTCAACAAGGAAAAGGTGAATTATGTTCAAAGTCTTCGACAACATTCAAGGAAAATAAAAAATGTGCACAATATGGAGAGTGAGTACTGCCATGATTACAACATACGGAGAACAGATGTACATTTTTCTGCCTGCTTCTGGGTTTAATTACTGGGAAAAAGGCTTAAATGTTCTGAAAGGCATATTGGCGCCATTGTAGACAGAAAAACTGGAGTAAATTTCACCAAAAAATATCTGAAATGTTCCACAAAAAAAAGTTTGAAAAATCAAAAAGAAAAAACAGACATTTTTAGGTTGGTGTCAGATTTTTGAATTTAAAGAGTCACATATTTGCTAAAATAAACCCAATTTTTTGGGAGGGTTTTAGAAAAAAAATGGAAAATGCAGTTTCAAGTTAGAAATTTTTGACTTTTGAAACTCAGAAATTTCCACGTTATCTTCTCAAAATTTTCAACTTTTTACTCAGAAATGTCTTTTTCCTAGAAAATTTCTGAGATAAATCTCAAAATTAGATTTTTTCTCTCTCATATTTTCAACTTTTCAAATTCTGATTTCCATTTTCCTCACAATTTTTTTTACTTTTGAAACTCAAATTTCCCCAAAAAATTTCAAATTTTGTGAAATCTCAGAATTTCTTCATTTTTTGGTGATTTTCTCCCGTTTTTCCTTTTTTTCTGCCTAGAATGGCTCTCACACGCCATCGTCTGTTTTCACAGGATTTTGGAGAAATAAAACAACCAGACAGAATTTGTCGGGTTTATTTCTGGATCACAGTGGTTTCCAGTACCAGAACTTACTGCAGGTTTATACGTTTAAAACAAAAGTTTAATGTTTCTCCAAAAACACCAGAAAGAAAAAAACATTTTCTTCTCTCAGGTTTTTATGCAAAACATTCCCTGCTTCTTTTTTTTCTTTCACACAACAAAAACGTGGAAATCTTTGGACTTTGTTTTGCAAACAGAGCAGTTGGAAGACATTTAGGTCAGGAATGATTTATGATATTAAAACACAGAAAAGCTTTAAAAATTAATTAGGATGGAAGGTTTCACTGCATTATAATACACAAAATTATGTAAATGCTTTTTCAGCATTAAAGAAACGAGGTTACGATTAACCCCACAACGATTCAACCTCAACTCAGATTACAGTTTTGGACGTTTAATCTGTAAACGTGTTTCTTCTTGCAGGCAGTAGTGAGATTTTAGTGTAATCACTAAAGAATCTGTGGAGGGAGCTAAAGATTAGGGTGATGGTACGGAGGCCATCCAACTTTAAAGGCTTGGAGATAATCAAAGTGAAACTAGAAATGCACCGATTGTAGTTTTCTGGCCTGACGATTCAGTTTGGCCAATTATCAATTTGCCTGAAAAGTTGCCAAATATCCCAACAAAGTTTCATCTTTGCTTGGGGCGAGCGCTGATCTCCCAAAATTAATGAAATCAATACCGAAAAAAACAGCAATGTTAAATTTTTCCACTAATTTTTGACAAGGGTGTAAATATTTAGCAAAATGTACTTTAATACATAAAATATAAACTAAAATGCTTTTTTGTCTACATGTTTTAAGACAAACACCTTGAATTGAGATCCAAACCTGACAGGGGCGAGAAAAACTTTGGGCTTAAAGCTTAAGTATCTTAATTTTATTTAAAAAATTATTCTATTACACATTTATTGAAACTGTCACCATGTTGTGATAGTTTTATATGAAACAGGAAAACTGAAAAAAAAAAAATTTAGTTCCTGTCTTCTCCCAGTGCCAACTAGAAACAACCAATCAGAACCAGGAGGCGGGGCTTAGCGCTGTCAATCACAGCCCTTACGCTGTGCTACTGTACAGCTTCTTCCTGATAGTTTTCCTGTAAGTTTGTTTCTCTCCCATCAGCACATTGATCAGCGAGTACATGACATTGATTGACAGCACTAAGCTCCGCCTCCTGGATCTGATTGGTTGTTTTTGGAGCATTTCTTCAGACGGCAGTAGCAGCTCAGGGAGGAGATCGATGCTTTTACAGATCATCTGTCTCAAACTGTCAGAACATGACTGTTTTAACAAATATGTAAAAAAACAAACATTTTTAATGAAAGTTACGTACTTTAAGTGTAAGTAAGGAAACACAAAGCCATTGCTTAATTTGCAACAAGATGTATTAAATTAATTTGTCCGGCTGCAGAAACTGACATTTTAATTCGCTTCATTCTGCGAGACGTCAGAAGAATATGGTAAAATTATTTCCAGGCTAATTTACTTACATTTTCTGCATGTTTAAAAAGTTTCAAGGTTAAAGTTTGCATAAAGGCAACAGAGAAGCAAATTTAAGCCCTGATTAGATATATGGAGGCTGTGAAGTGACAAAAATAAGGAAGTTGGAGTTAGAACATCTACAGCGTCATAATGCACATTTCACAGCTTCGTCATAGAAACAGAATCACAGCCGGCTGCTGGTTAGAGATTATTCCTCAAAAGTCTGAAGCGTCCATTAGTGTCTCAGACATACCGTCATGAATCAAAGATCTAAACAAATCATGCAAAAATAAACTGTTTTGAATAAAAAGAGTACAAAACATATTTTTTTGTTTGCCTAGTGGTCATTCAGAAAAACAAAAATCTCATCATTCATTCATTCATTCATTCATCAGGTTCAAACACTGTTTCAGGGCAAAGTGCATCTCTTCAAACCGTGTCGCCTCCGAGGAACAAAACAAGCACCATGGAAACACATCCAGCATGACACAGATGTTTATATGTACAAATAATTCAACAGATTAAAGAAAAAAAACATGATGCATGTAACACGGACGGATTTTTGGCCTACTTGGCTCTCCGTACGTGATGCGCGTGTCGAAACATTCACAAACAAACTGATGTTGAGAGTCCAGGAGGGCGAAGGATGAACCCAGGTGGCTGATGGGAAATGTAGTGTAAAAATCCATCAACGATGAAAACAGCATGAAGGTTTTCTAAGGCTGAAGTCCAGCTGGAGCCGGTGCGGTGAAGGAGAGGCCGCCCCCTGCTGGTCGACTGGAGCAACGACATCCGAGGAGGGAAAGGCAAAGAGAGAGGAAGAGGAGGAGGAGGAAGGGTTGTGTTTTCACCTGAGTCCTGCTGTCTGTCTAATGATCTCTGAGAAGTTCCAAACATTTAAAAAATCATGCTTCATTAGACAACGTGGCGATCAACGGAAACATCAAAAACATGCGACTTGGTGAGGATGAAGGCAGGCATGAGGAGCAGAGTGGCTCAGGCAGGCAGACATCACCAACAGAGCACAGAAGATGACAGGACACAGATGGAGCACAGCAGCACTGATGGTGTTAGCAAGCAGACCGAGACGGCTTAAACAAAGTCCGGGCGCTGCGGGGACTCAACATGGCTCTCTACTAAACAATCACAGGTACGGAAGAAGATTAGGGCCACTAAAAAATAGTAACTCTGAATTTAATGTCAGAATTAAATTCAGGATTCTGAAAGAAACTCTGAATTATGAGATTAAATTCAAAATTATGAGAAAAAAGTTAGAATTATAAGATTAAAATCATATTTCTGAGCTTAAATTCAGAATTCTGAAAAAAGGCAATTTTGAAAAAAATCAGAATTCTAAAAAAAAATTCTGAGTTTTATATTATTTAAGATTAAATTCTGAGATTAAAGCCAGAATTCCTTTTTTCCAGTGATCCTAATCTTCTCCTGTACAGAGGAGACTCTTGTTAAAAATTATTTTCTTCCTCTTAGAGAAAATGTCGATCAGAAATGTGCAAACGTTGCTCCATGCTTTAAAGATAGTGCAGCTTGTTTTTTTTTAATGTTTTTGCACTTTCAGCTCAAATCCAGATGTAAAATTACAAAATAAAAGCTGCTTTAATGAGAATAAAGCTTCAATAGTTAGGACACTCAGTCCGTTTGAACAACCGTCTCATAATTTCATGCTGATGCGTTAAAAAGACGAACCATGAGAGCGAATCAGGATGCAACTGAACGAAAACAAAGATGGCGTCGTTAATGAAATCTCTGACTTTCTGCTGATTATGGAAGCACAGAAACATGCATGGCCTCCTTCTCCCCGCCCCCCAGCCTCCACCACCAATCATTATCAGCGTGAGCCCTCCACCAGCCAATCAAATCGCCCGGCCACTCTGCAGCCCTCAGGAACCTGCAGCCACGAAGAGGAGAGAAACCGTTATAAACAAACGCACTTAAAAACTTCAACACAGAGAGAAAATTGTGTTTAACATGAAAAATTTAAACTTTCAGAGAAACTTAAGTTTTCTGCAACACTAGCTGCGTTTCCATTAACCAGATGAATGCACAATTTGACATTTCGAAAATAAATTTGCTTCATAGAAACACGCCAAATTTAAAAAAAAAAAAAATCATTATTTGAACAAAAGGTTTTGTGCTAAAATGAGGTGTTTTAAGGAAATTAATGTATTTCTTAAACCGCAAAGGAAAAACTTTTTCGTAAACGAGTCCCATGATCAACATAAGGATGTTACTACTGCCGGAAACCACAAAGACGACGACAACAGGAAGTGGCAGGAGGATAATTTTTAATGAATTATTGTGTGAACAAACTTGTTCACTTGGGAATTTAATTGCGTTTCTTATTTAAACACTTTACTTGTGAAATTGTGTTTTTTTTTTTCCAATATTTGCTGAATATCAACAGTTTTGCACACATTTGTAATGGAAACGCAGCTGCAGCTAGGTTGTCACAAACTAAAGCACCACATCTTCTTTCAAGTATTTTAATTTGTTTATGCCAAACAGACAATAAAAGCTTGGATTTGGAACAAACCAAAAAGAAACACACAGCAGAATAAAATCTGAATTATTGAAATAATCCTGCAAACTTCATACAAACATCCTTCTTACTGAACATGAAACCAGATCCTAAAAGACGGCCATGTTGCTTTTCTTCCTTCCACCGAATCCCCACCAAACCACCAGGCTAAATCCTCACATTTGCTCATTTTATGCACAAACTGAACTGTGAACTCTGCAGAAAACAAGGAAATGTTCATTTGTGCAGCAACTTCTATCAAGAAACTTTAAGAATCAGAATTTTGTACAATTATTAATAAACGCTAAGAGAAAGTACCTAAAGTTTTTAAATGTTGGTAATAATAATAACTATTGAAGAGAAAGCATGAGGTCAGAACGAGGCTGCACAAAACTCTGCAAATCTAAAAAAGATAAAATAAACTTTCCTGAAACTCTGCAGGTGTAAGCAGCTCAGTTTGTGGTGGGAATTGTTTGCAGGAAGAAAAGCATAAAAAGTCATCTTAATATTTTACTTCTTAAAAAACTGCATGAAATGAACTTGTGTGAATAAAAACTGCATTAATGAAGACAAACCGGCAGGATGGCACAGATAACAAAATAGTGCAAAAATGCACAAAAAAACACAAAGAGAGCTTAAAATCAGGGAACTTGATTGTTTCATCCAAAAAATAAAATAAAAAGTTTCTAATATATTACATAACGTTATCTCAAATAATCTGATTGATACTGAGCTCAGCAGGTTTGTCCCGTTTGTCCCTCCCAGCACCGGTCCAGGGGGACGGACGGCGTTTGGATGCTGCGGCGCCACGCTGACGCTAGAAGGCAAACATGGAGGCAACGACAGACAGGAGGCGCCGGCGCCTCAGATGTACGTCACGGCACCTTTGCTGTTTTTCTCGATGGTGATTTCTACGTAGGAAGTGGGAATGTAGCCTTCCTCGCCACTCTGCTTCCTGGCCCGCGTCCAGCCGTCGCCTTTGTCCTCTTCGATGATGTACAGCACCTGCAACAAAAACCCCAACATGGCCGCTATGAGCAGTGAAACGTAAACAAGGCGTCCAGTTTGAACCCAACTGGTTTTCAAACTTGCAACTGGAATAAAGTAAATTATCCCAGAGTTTGATTCATAATCTGATCAGTTATTCGGTACTTGAGTCAACTTTTTACCAAATACTTTTTACTTTTACTAGAGTAAAGATATGTTCAGTTTAAATTTTGGGAACTTTATCTGCCTCTGGATCTCATTCCCACCCTTGAGGTAAATAATTTAAAACAAGTCTTGAAATAAATGTGCTTTTGCAGGTCACTTTAATTCTCTGAAGGCTAAAACGTGGCATGCATGTTGTTTTACAGAAGGCCACATGATGGCGCCATTGCTTCACAAAGCAGAGAACTGATGAACGTTACCTCATCCTCTGCCATCGTCAGAGTCCCCTCATTCTGACCTGCAAAACAAAGAAACGTCATCAGAAAAAATGCTGCTTACATTTACAAACGTTCATCTTTAAAAACTCAAAAGTCTGAAAAACCCCAGTTATTTTTGACTGATTCTGTCCAAAACCAGGTGTGTCTAAAAGCAAACTTTGCAATAAGGGTAAAAATATGACCAATCATTTCCTTACAGTAGAAAATGTATTTGCCTTTTTAGAACCAAACTTTTATAAAAAGCAAAGTTGAGAAACAACTTTGTGGTTGTAAATCAGCTTTTATTTAATTTATTAAACTTGGTGCATATGAAAATAACTCAAATATTTTTCTTTTGAAAATCAGATTATATTTCTTTCAGTACAGAAAATGTGTAAAATTATTTGAAAGTTTGGGATTTACAATGAATAACAACACTTTTGTACCAAAAAAATAAAAAACTAAAAATGAATAAAATCTTTAATTGCTTGTTTTTATTTTAATCTTTCTATTATTATCATTTACTTTGATTTTATTTTGAACCACGTGACAAAAATAATCATATTGTAAGCTACAGATATTATAATCATATTATTTGCCCTTATATCAGCTATATTTGGTAAATGAAATAAAACAATCTTCTTACTCCAGTTGTATCTTTCACTCACTATCAAAGTGAAATAAAGTCAGAGAGCAAATAAACACGCTACAATTCACCATTTTAGAGTCAAACTTAGCTTAGCTTAGCCTTAGCTTATCCTGGGCAAATTGAGCAAACAGAAAATGTCCAAATAAAATACAAATAAAAATTATCGTTCTTAAACATAAACAGACTGTAACTTACCAGTTCTATAGAGTGGTAACTCTCATAAAAACACAAAACTACCTACAAACCACCAGGCCTGTAACGATAACAAATTTTACTGAGCGATTAATTGTCTAAAAATTATTGCAATAAACGATAATATTGTTTCAAGACCAGTTGACCCTGATTTAATGGAAATGATGTAATAATGCCTGCTATTTCCTGCCATAGATAGATACACTTTAATTTGAAAAGAACACATAACACTGGAACCAAAAGAGTGCAGATTATGGAGTGTGTATTGGCCTTCAGTAATCACTAGATTTAAACAGAGAAGACGGGAACATCCCACTACCTGACACTACATGACAATCTCAGATCGTTGGCCGATCTAACCGATCATCCTGCAGTGTGTGGTGAGTTAGGGTAGACTGTCGTGGCCGCTCTAATCTAAATCAGAGGTTTTCCCTGACTGGGAGCGTAACGCTGAATGTGACAGGTAGCCAATCAGAATGCCGGATTCTCCTCCTG